TTTCTGTTTCATCGAAGAAAGCTTTTTTGTTGTTTAGGATTGTAATTTTAAATTGCATTTAGGCTAATTGCAATCTCTCTCTGTTCCTCTCTCTCTCTCTCTGTTCCTCTTTCCCCCTCCCTCTCTCTCCCCCACCCTCCCTCTCTCCCTTCTTCTCTCTCTAAAGTCAATAAACATATCCACAGGTGAAGATTTTTAAAAACATTAAAATAAATAAATAAATAGATAAATAAATAAAGTATCAGTACAGATAACATGAACCATCAACTCAACTATTAAAATAACAGTAAAGTGCCATTCATTATGTTTGTTTTAACTGTGCTCAATGTTAACTTTTTACTTATGATTTTGGTGTAAGTTGCATATAAATATGTGAAATACATAGAATAATGCATTGACTTCATGACAAGATATAGAAATGATCTGTCCCATTATTTTGATGATTGTTGCAATGATCAGACATTGTATTCAACAATGTCCCTTTGAAGAAATTTACCAGCAGTAATTTTAAATTTTCAAAAAACGTATTTTCTTTAAAAAAAAAAGACCAATGAACAAAAGACCAGTTTACATCACCTGGGTGATATTAAGACCTAAGAATAACATATAGATGAGTGCTACCATTTATTTTTCTCTTTTGACAATCTGAATTTTCATTTTGATATCACAGTGAATGATAAATCAAAGGATTTAAAAGTAGAACTCAAAATTGAAAAATTGAAGTTGTAAGTGCTTTTATCTTAAGTAGATAATATATTTGTGCACCTTTAGCTAACTTTATGACAATGTATTCTTCTCTTAATGACTTTAAGCTTGTGTAGTAAGTAGGTCTCAGCAGTCAGGGTTAAGTATGAATTGTTACACCTACAGACTTTCATGAGGGCTCAACTCAGCACACATGTAAATTGTTTTATTCTACAGTTCTTTCTGGCAGATTGTATAATACATTCAACTGTCACTGACTAATTATTTTTTTGGAGAAAGACTAATATTTTATTTTTAAGGATTATTGATTTGTATTCATTATTTTACCTTACTTCCTGGGGTATAGCATTTTTAAAGAAAATTTACTTTTTAAATTTTGCTGTTGATTTAAAAAAATAGTTCTTACTAAGACAGTGTGGACTATTCATTTTTCTCCCTGGGACAGTTGGCCTTGGACATACAAATAATCTCTGACTTCAAGGAAGTGGGTTTCTTTTGTTTATTCTTTTGGATAACTGGTTAATTTTCCACTATTCACTTCTTTTTGAAATCCCTGGCATTACTGACCATTGAAGACAGTGAGCAATTCTCATACCCAGTAGGGAGGACTGCGTGGTAAAGCCAACTCCCGCAAGCCTACTTTGCATTCCTAAAACAGAGGGACCCAAAATGGACACAGGAGGAGCCTTTTGAATTTCATCCTTTTTGTCTCTACCCATTCTGTGCCAACATGGACCTGCATGTGCCATTTAATTTTAATACCTCACCATTTTCCAATGTATACAAAACTCGGGAAAACAACAACAAATCTTGTATCTATTTCTTCTAGGTTGGATGCATTGAAGACTTTCTATACCAGTTGGAGGATAATTTCTTAAAAACTAAAAAACTGAGAACTGCTCGAAGGCAAAAAACCAAAATGAAGCGGCTTCAAACTGTGCAGCAAAGCTAGTCACTGGGAGCAGGCACTACCACAAGATGTCCCAGAGAAAGGGACAATGGCCTCCCACCAGCCCAACTATGACAGCTCAGTGATTAAGGCCTATCGTGCTTCCCCTGGCTCATCTTTAGCAAAGGCGATCTATATACTTCATTAATCTTGACTGGCAGCAATAAATGATCCTGACAAATCTGACTCGACTCTTGTTCAACTGCATCTTGTTTTTCTAATAGTTTATAAAATAACCATTGCTGCCTTTTTCACTTGCCTTGTTCTTTCAGAATTGACTAAGGTGTATCAGTATAACTAAGTATGGTTATCGTGTGTGTGCACATTCATGCAGTTATTAAGAGTTAATCACATACCACATACAGACATGAACAGACAATATAAATGCAAATTTAAAAAATTTTAAAGCTGATAATAGACTTTCTTGGTTTTTATAGAGATAGTTATACGTAGCTTGGCTGATGCTATCTGTTAAATTATCTCATTAAAATCTTGACTCTTCTCTGGATCCCCAATAGCCCCTCCCCTTAAATGACTCAACACAGTGCTTGTATTTGACAAGGTAGTTAGACAACAGCCATCACTCAAGACCTCAGCTGACATCGAAAAGGGGTTTTAAGATAGAGGAAGGAGGAGGAAGTCCGAGTCAGAGGAAAATAGACAAGAAAATATAATTTTTAAAAGTAGTGGAAGAAATCAACAGGATCTCAGAGTACAGTGATGATAAACAGCATGAAAAAAAACAGGGAATAAAATACTCAGCACTAAATGATTTCTTATACAATGAGATTATAAAGAAATCAATTAATAGTTTAGTCTTAAATGTATGTTAGATTTGTATAGTCATAATTATGCAAGATATAAATATTTTTAAATCTTAAAATAGGATCTTAGTTTCCCCGGGGACAATTTGCTTATCTTGCCTTTATCAAATAGTTCTCTTTTCTATCCAGCTCCACCTAGAGAACACCATCACTGCCACCAGCTTCCCTTGGGTTAGTTATTAATACCATTGTAGTCAGTTAAGGACAGTGGAATTTTCCCTCGGGTTAGTTATTAATATCACTGTAGTCAGTTAAAGACAGTAGAGTTTTAAAAACTCCTTTTTAATTCTAAACTCACACCAGTATGGCATCTCAGTTCTGTGCTCATATGTACTGGAAAAAAATTTCTTTCTTGGACGTGTGAATCTAGCCAGTTGTAGGGTTCAAGGTAAATAAATGGCTGTGCCTCCCATCTGACCACCAAGATAGTCGCCACTTGCAATAATGGTCTGGGAATTTCCCACTTAAAAAAGAAGTCCTCATAATATCTTTAGGAATGAAGCTTATCCACTTTGAATTTTAACTTCAGTGTTAAAATTTCATTTTCCAAAAGGACTCCTATGTTCTGTGAGTAACTGCTTTTTTAAAAGATTTTATTTATTTATCTTTAGAGGGGAAGGGAAGGAGAGAGGGAGAAATATCAGTGTATGGTTGCCTCTTGTGGGTCCCCTGCTGGGAACTGGCCTGCAACCCAGGCATGTGCCCTGACTGGGAATCGAACCACGATCCTTTGGTTTGCAGGCCTGCACTCAATCCACTGAGCTACACCAGCCAAGGCTGTTTATTGTTTTTTGTTTTTTGTTTTTTGTTTTTAATCCGGTTGGAATCTTAGCACTGCCGATTTGTTTCCTAAGCTATTTTCTGAAAGGCCTGGAATATTTAATCGCTGTCCAATCGCTTTACCTTTATTGTTTGAAAATCACTATTCTCTCATTTCTTAGTGCCTAAAGATTATAGTTGAGAAATACCATGTCACTACATTACATCATTATAGATGACATAATTACAATTGTTAGATTATGGCTTCACTTTTTGATCATCTCCCCCAAATCCAGTACTAAATGCCATTGGTTATTTTCTCTGGGGCTTGGGTACAGAAAGGAGGGCTGTTTTAGTTGCTCTTGGGAAGGATAACATGAAATGAGGATCCAAAACTTTCAAAAGAAACATTTTTCAGAAAAAAAATGTTCATCAATATTTATAGCTCTTCGACAGGTATCACATCTTCAGAATTCTTAACAGGTACAATGGGGACGTCCGCAGAGATGGGACATCCTCTGGTCACTGTCAGTTTATTCCTTATTTCAAGGTCTCTGGTTCTATTTTGCTCATTTGTTTTGTTGATTAGGTTCTGCTATAGGTAAGATTATATGGAATTTGTCTTTCACTGCCTGGCTTATTTCATTAGCATCATACCCTCCAGTCCCATCCATGCTGTCATAAAGGTTAGGAATTCTTTCTTTCTGCTGTGTAGTATTCCATTGTGTAACTCTACCATGTTTTTTTTTTTTTAAGTTCAATTTACTTTTTTTTTTAAGATTTTATTTATTTATCTTTAGAGGGGAAAGGAAGGAGAGGGAGAGAAACATCAATTGTACGGTTGCCTTTCGTGCGTCCCCTGCTGGGAAGTGGCCTGCAGGGAACCGGCCTGCAACCCACGCATGTGCCCTGACTCGGAATCAAACCACGATTCTCTGGTTCGCAGGCCCGCCCTCAATCCACTGAGCTACACCAACCAGGGCTCTGTACCATAGTTTTTTGATCCATTCATTCACCGGTGGGCACTTAGGTTGCTTCCAGCACTTGGCTATTATAAATCACACTGCTATGAACATTGGGTTGCATAGGTTCTTTTGGACTGGTGTTTCAGGATTCTCGGGATATAATCCCAACAGTGGTATTGCTGAGTCAAAATGCAGTTTCATCTTTAGTTTTTTCAGGAAATTCCATACTATTCTCCACAGTGGCTGTACCAGTTTGCATTCCCACCAACAGTGCACTAGGGTTCCCTTTTCTCCACATGGCCTCACCAGCACTTGTTGTTTGTTGATTTGTTTATGGTGGTCAGTCTGACCAGTGTGAATGGTATCTCATCGTGGTTTTAACTTGATTTCTCTGATGGCTAGTGATGCTGAACATCTTTTCATATGTCTCTGGGCCCTCTGAATGTCCTCCTTGGAGAAGTGTCTGTTCAGGTCTTTTTCCCATTTTTTAATTGCATTGTCTGTCTTCTTGGTGTGGAGTTGTCTGGTTCTTTATAGATTTTGGAAATCAAACTCTTGCCCAAGGTATCATTGGCAAATAATGTTTTGCCATAGAGTTGGTTCCCTTTTCATTTTGTTGATGTTTTCTTTAGCCATGCAGAAGCTTTTTAATTAGATGTACTCCCATTTGTTTATTCTTTCCCTTATATCACTTGCCCTAGAGGACATATCAGTGAAAATATTGCTGTGTGGGATATGTGAAATTTCACTGCCTATGTTTTCCTCTAGGACTTTTATGGTATCATGACTTATATTTAAGAAAAACAGTGGTTAGATGCCACGAGGTGGGTGGCAGTTCCTTAACTGTATGCATATTGTTAGGGCCAGGGCCCTCTTCCGTCCTTGTCAAGGGGCATACTAACCTTCTCTCCTTTCACACAACATGAAAACCGTGTGTTTTGATCCATGTCTGCTTTAATGCCAGACACTTGATCATTCTCAATCGTTCACTGATCATTCTTCAAAGCATTTTGGCATTGTTTGTATGGGTAGGGGTTCAGAATGTCGCCCTAAAATATGCCACATTGGCATGTTGATTTTTTTAAGATTTCATTTATTTATTTTTAGAGGGGAAGGGAAGGAGAGAGGGAGAGAAATATCAATTTATGGTTGCTTCTCCTGTGTCCCCTCCTGGGAACTGGCCTGCAACCCAGGCATGTGCCCTGACTGAGAATTGAACTGCAATATGCTGGCTCTCAGGCCTACGCTCAATCCACTGAGTACAGCAGCCAGGGCTTGATTTTTTTTATTAAAGTTATTGGACAAAGAACCTATGCATGACAGACACTCCTATCTTCCTTCTCCTCGTAAAGCAGGAGATAAATCCCTTGCATGAAAGGTGCCCTCCCTGTACCAGGAGAATAAGAGGCATCCTGTCCCCACAGACGAGGCATCTAGGGCTGAGAAGCCTATATTAAGCAAAGCTTGTTAATTCTTCTCCATTTGCAACTCTAGATCAAACCCCTCTGCCTTGTCAATTCTGCACAAATTTATTGTTTCTCTGGGTAAAATGTACAAAAGTTTCCTGTTCTGGTCACTTCTTTGAGTCTGTGTGGGACTCCCATAAATACATACGTAATTCAGTTTATTTTTCTCCTGTTAATCTGTCTTTTTATCCCAGGGGTGTTTCAACCACATACCTATAATGGTACAAGAAAAATTATTTTTCCTCCCCAACAGATGGTTTTCTCAGCTTTTCAGTTTCAAAATTTTCAAACCTATGGAAAATTGGGAAGAATACTGCAATATAACAGAGACACCCTTAACATAAAATTCCCTGATTATTAACATTTTGCCTTATTGCTTTCTCTCTGGCCCTTGTAGCTGTCTCTCTCTCTCTCTTTCACATCAGGTAAAACCCTTTTTAACACACCATAGAAAAACCAAGTTGTTTCTCTTAATTAAATTACTTTATCATGGTTGTATGCTAATCCCCAATTAGCAGGTCTAAATTTGTTCTCTGCATTGAATTATCCAGCTGACCACAATGACTTGGAAACTACTGGGGGAAGAGGCTATAGATGAATGGCACACACCGCACACCCCACCCCCACTCCCTGCTGTCCTTTCCATGGCATGGCTTTGACGGTTGCAGCAGCCCTCAGCAAGAGCAGCATCCTTGAAGAAGGAAATGCAAGTAGCAAAGGCAAGACATGGCCTCAGAGCTGCCAACTCATACTTTTGTATACTTGCAAAGGTGGCTGTTATTCTCTGAGAGCAGGTGATGCAATTTTTAAAAACAGCCAAACATTCCTCAGAACTCACATTGGTAAGTAGAGTCAACGGTGACCTGCATAATGCTACCTGGTGTCCAGCATCATGTGTGTGTCTGAAGTGATGGCTCACAGAGCAGCAACTGCGTCGCAAAGAGTGCAGGTTTCCAAGGCGACTCCTCTGAAGAGAGGTACACGTATATTGGTATTTACATGCCCCTGTGTTTGTTTAGGAAATATGTCTTTCCAGGCATTTCTCTATGCATCTGATGTAACAGAAAACTAGATAAATTTTTTTTTAAAACCTGTCCAGAAAGCAATCTGTTAGTTTGTATCACAAGCCCTAAAGGGGTTTATACCATTTTCCCCAATAATTTCACTTTTGAGAAACTAAGCTAAAGGAATAATCAAATATGTATTAAAAGATGAGAGTTAAAAGGTATTCATCACAGGGTTATGTTAAATAGAAAAATAAAATGAACTCAACCAAAATTTCCAACATAGGTAATAGACTAAATTATTTATGACAATCTAACCAATGCTTAACTTAGTAACATATAAAAATTTTATGATGTGAAAAGAAAAAAGATATAAAACTATATACAGCATAATTATAACCAGGTTATAAAATATATGAATATAAAAAGACTGTAAGGGAATACAATAAGATATTAAGAATGGTAATCTTTAGTAGAGACAGTTATGGGTGATTTTATTATCTTTTCTTTAATATTATGCCTTAAGTGCATGTTCCTTGCTAAGAAAAAATTCTTTGTTCTTACTTAGTATCACACTGTAGAAAAATATCAAGTCATATCAGTTTTTCTTTGCCTGTTTATATATATATATAGATATATATTCTACAGATTATATACCTAGATATAATTTGCAGAATTATTTGTTGCATAAAATTTCCATGACCACCTCCACTGAATTTGTGGCATAAAATTTTTATGACCCTCAGGACACGCAGTCCAAAAGGTCACTTAATAACTACTACACAGAGCACCAGTTATGGTGTTTTACCTACTTTTACAACTAACAACATGATACCATATGTGGGTTGTTTCTATCTCCCTTGCTTTTGTTCCTCATAACTTTCTCCTCTGATTATTTTGTTTCATTCTTTCCCTGTACTCACAGGATATCATCTCATAAAATATGAGATGATCACAGACCAGTCTCTTAAATCAAAATGTATTGAAAGTTGAGAGACCGCTGGCAGAGCAAGGCTTTGATTTACAGTGGCTTGATTCATTGAGATAGTGTGATAGAGTCCAAGTTCAATCAGATATTTTACAAGTTGTCTGATCCACTCGGCAGTTGCCTGGGCTCCTGGGACATGGATACAAAGGACTATTGTGCAGCCTTGACAAGTGGCAGATTGTCAAGATAGAATGTAATGACACCTGGGGACAGGCACCTATTTTTGACAAGGCATCAAATGCAGGAAAAAATCAGAAAACAGACCCAAAGAACATCCCAAAAGTTACCAATGTAAGCATATTCTGCTTATGCCTTAATGAGAAGAAGCCAGAAAGACTTAGGCTGTATGAGTTAATTAGAGCTCGAAATCACTTTCTACGTACCTTCTTTAACAAATGGTATGGGAACTTAAAAACTTCATATTGGATATGCTTTTTTGTTATAATCTTCTATAGATCCAAGGCAGTGTGCATTAGTGATCAAAACTTTAACTTTCTTTTTAAATAATGTTTGGAGAAGTAGAAAGACAAATATTTAGTGAGAAATGGGAAGACGGAAACCCTGGTACCGATAGCGAGTTAGCCTTTCCTCTGAGCCCTGGGCTGCAGGCTTACAGTTACGAACAGCTGGGTCAGGCCCTGCTTCCTTAAAACCCAAAGAAGAAAATTGATGTAGTGTAGCTATTAAATGTAAAGCCCTATTAACAATACGTCTCACAGGTACCACGCAATTCAAGTTAGCTTATGACAATGGTAAGCATAAGATAGAAAACAAAATGAGCTTAGATTTTGAAGACCCAAGCTTAAGTCCTAGCTCTTTTGTAAAACGGGATAATCATTTCTTCTCTACCTAATGAGATTCCAGTAAGTGGCAAATAAGATGATGAAATATGAAGTGATTTTTAAACTCTGAAGCAATAACACCTTACTTTTATCGACACTCACTATAAGCTAGGCATCGTCCTATTTAGTCCTCAGTGCAATGCTGAGATTGGAAAGGTATCTCTTTTCACAGGTGAGTAAGCTGAGGCCCAAGAGGAATAGTAACTTCCACACAGCTAGACATAGAGAAGCTAGAGTTCAGATCCCAAGTTGGGACTTGATATTCTGCCCCTCTGCATTTTACCCCTGATCACTGTTTTTAAGACCTGGTGGGTCTTAGGTAACATTGGCATTGTACATTCTTGGGATTGCCCACAAATGACTCCAGGAGATCACTCTGTGTCCAACAGAGGATCCACTAGTCCCCTAGGACTATCAAGCTGCTGAAATATGCCTACTGTGACCAAAGACCTAAATTTCATTTAAGCTTGAAATCTTTTAACTTTCCTTTTTAAAGTTCAGTTTAAAAACTGATATTCGATTCAGTGATTGGAAAGCTTTGAAGTATATTTGGAAAACTTGGGTATGAAAATCTACTTTTTAACTACAAATGGTATGAAATTTAAGTATAGATCAAGTATTTCCAAAGAAAATTTAGTGCCTGAATTGATTCTATCAGTGTAAAATATACACCTGGTTTCAAAGATCAAGACAGTATTTTAAAAACTAAAATATCTCAATAACAATTTTAAATTGGTTACATGTTGAGATGATAATATTTTAGAAATAGTCATTCAAAGAGAATGTTATTAAAAATTCATTTCATCCATTTCTCTTTACTTTTTTACCACAGTTACTAAAACACTCAGAGTTGCATATGCCACTTGCATTATATTTCTCTGGACCAGTAATGACCTGGGATAAAAGTCATCCAATACTGGGAGTTCTCCCTCCTTCCTGGCGCATGGGGCTAACAGGAACTTGGCCTTCCCACCCTGGCTGTAAGTTACCATGGGCTCCATGAACCCCGGAGGCAGGGCAGTTGGCTTTCCCAGACATCTGACCGTGCAAGCCCTAGAGTTCACTGGTGTCCCCCTTGAGGAGTTTGACCTCTTTCTTGTTCTGTGAGCTGAGCCATCGAGAAGGGGATAGGGGCTGCTCCTAAGACATACACCTCCTACTGTGTTCCACACAGTGTCCTGCACCCAGCACTTTTTCATGGGCATCATGTACACCATACCTTGCTGAACTTTGCTTGAAGCTTTCCAGTAAAAGCTTTCTAACCTCTAGAGCTGTAGAGGTTGCTTTGGCTCATTAAAGATGGTGACCACAAAGGGACCCACCTTGCACAACACGGGCTCCTGGGGGTTGCTTAGAGAAAAGGATCCTGGGAAAAGACTAAACATCTTGCTAACAGGAAGGAAGACACTCGAAGAGCACTGAGATTTGTGATCTTGTAAATGTGACACATGTGTACTTGCCACAGGAAAAGCCAAGGACATAGTGGTTATAAAGGTAGCCACTGTTATAATCCCTTGAGTCATGTTACCCCATAAAAACATAAGTGGGAGCAAAGTGAAATTCCTCTACTAACTCACAATACTGTATTTAACCCAGAATAAAGCCAAAACACAATACTGTTCAT